TAGGCTTGCTGCGCATATTCTTTATTTCTCGGTATCGCATGCCTACAAATCTTCAAATCGTGGGTCCCCCTTAGAGCCTTCTCATCCGAAAAAAGAAGAGCTTATTGCAGCTTCTACTGTTCATTCGGCTTTATTTGCTCGTAATCCCTTCAAAGGCCTGTTTCGGCGGTGGCGGCGCTCCAACAGTGGTTTGCTGTGGAGCAGCCGGTGGTGGTGGCTGTGGTGGAGGCGGTGTTGGCGGTTGCGGCGGAGGTGGTTATCCTGTGGCTCCTGGTGGATATGCTGTAGCTGGAAGGAAATAGTAAGTTTTGTCAGGTTAGGCTTTACCCTGACGACATAATTTTAGGGTTTATAGAAAGCTTATAGAATAGTATTGCAATACGGTGTTGAATGTGGGGTAGTTGCTCCAAGCAGCTATTTATTGCTTGTAAGCGTATGTGTATAATTTGCGATAAAACTAAGAATAGTCCAAATTGTATTCCTTTCACAACCTAAAGAAGTATGTCTTCAGTGGGCTCTGCTTAGTACACGCCATAATCATGATTGTGGAACTTGTATTGGAACGCGAATGGGAAAAAAAATCAATTGTAACATTTCCAAGTCGATCAAAAAACTGGTACCCATTTTAGGGAAAATCCACTAAATTTGGCCAAGGTGGCCGTAACCAGACTGTTATGTCACCCTTTTGTTCAAAAGTTTGTAGAATATGCCTAACTTTGCTCCTATCATCTGCCTTATACGGAGTCCGTGTGACTGTGGTTATGTGCGTAATCTTGGAAACATAACGTGCACAGTTTTTCACGATGAGGGGGTCAGTGCAAAAACAGCATAATGAGAGAAATTGTATGCAAATTTCCACTTCTCGTAAGGGTTGACAAAGCTCGGACTTTTGACATAGGTTATGTAGAGGGCTAAAGCTAGGGAAAACTTTATCGAGAGAACCGGCCTTCCAAAACTTTACACCTGTGCTACATCCTACCTAACTTTAGAACTTGGAGTGACAGAGCCAGATTTAAGTGGCGTTTTTCTGCTGTCTGATCATCTCTAAAAAAGTTGTTTACTCTTTATCTCTAATAAATTTTTCTTGTAAAAAACCGCATAATATGTAATTTTACTTTAAATCAAATTTCTTCTTGACATGGTCACAGTGAGGTGGTTTATGTTGCATTCAAGTCAAGGAACTGGCATCGCAGCACTTTTCGGCGTTTCACAAATTTTGGCAAAGATCGTATATGAATATCTCTTGTGAAATTTGAACAGTGTCATTATTTACTGGTTTTCCAGAACGATACCTTCTGCTTTAGCAATGTTTTAATTTATATCTTCACCACACCAAGAATTCATTATCCAGAAGAAACCCTGTGTTCCTCTATATGAAATATGCTCCGCTTTCTGAGTTCTTTTCTTTAGACTACTGTAATCAAAGATTCCCTGAAAATCATGTGCATAAAATTGGCAACATTGCGTTTTTCGGAAAACCAGTGGAACCGGTATTTATGAGTTGCAACTACGACACATCTTCGCAATTGAAGTTTTTGCAAATCTGCAACTGCATTTCTACTTTCTGCCTTCTTGCCAATCTTTGATAGTAAAAATGGTAATGAGATTGCTGGTACTCAGGCTGTGATGAACTTCAATTGTGCAGGCTTTGCTGTAGCCGCAAATATTGGTCAAAAAGGACTTGGATTATTCATCTGGAAGTGCGAATAAAACTAGAACTCTATTACTAAAATTGTTAAAGAGCTTTGTGTGTAGAAAATTTAGGGTTTGGTATTTAATGAAAAGAAATTGGAAATCTATTCACTGAGATTTGGGCCATTGGCAGCCAACATCTGGTTTGATCCCATGCCTACTGTAATCCTACTTGCAATCTACTCTGTTTTCTACGTCATATAGCCATCCGGTAACATACTCTCCAGAGTTAGCTCATTGTTAAGTTTACCTGGGGAAGATTTAGACCTAGTATCGGTGTTTGACAGAGGCCATTCATTCTCTACTTTGAATCCAGAGAGATCATTGTGGATTCACTTAGTCATCATGTGGTAGCCCTTTACTTTCAAATTTATCAAACTTGCCTCCAAATCATTCTGTTCGTAGGAGTGAAAAGCCGTGCAAAGCATTATGTGGGGTAACCTTTTTTTTCCATTTTACAGGCATAAGAATATTATGCAAACAAATGGTGTAAGTCATCCGCTGTTTTTATTGTTGGAATTTCCTCAAATTTAAAATGGAAGCAATAAAATTCTGACGTATTCCAAGAGGCATTGTTAAAACCATTTTTAACGAAGGTGATTGCAGACTAATAGCTTGACTTTACTATAATCCTGTGGTTTCTGCCTCATTTTCTAGCTCATTATGTATGCGTGCGACGGTTGGGACAATTTTCGCTAAGCGAAAGCATTGAATTTTTCTTTTTGCGTTGAAAAAAAAACGTATACGAATGCAATTTGACAAACTAGATCTTCGTTGGGCATATAAAAGGTCCTACAATCTCGTAATTTCTACTCTTCTCTTTCTATGCTTGCTCAAATTTTCTTTCTCGTAAGTTTTTTTGCTAAACATTCCTCAACTTGCAAATCGCTTCTCATTAGATTGATTTAGATTTTCCTCCTAATTTGTGTGGTGATGATCACTATGCCAATAGAGGCATGTTTTAGTAGTTTTGGCCGTAGCAGTGGTGGTGGTGGCAGCTATGTCATTTGCTGTTATGGAAAGTAGTAAGTCATTTGCCGTATCCACTGTTCCGAACGG